TTGGATATGAGATGATAGATAGCCAACAAGGCGCGTAGCGCCGAGTTGGCTATAATCATCTCATATCCAACAAGCGCGAGTGGAATAACTGTTTTATTAAAAACGTTAAATTAAATGAAATTTTATTCAATTTTTAGTTCCCTTTTAATTTTAATCTGACACATACGCTTGCCATATTTGTAGATTATGGTATATTGGCTGATATACCATAATGGCTAAGCCAATAAAAAGTCTTGAATTGCATTATCCAATGATCCCGTTTTTAATAATGGTTATTATTAAAAACTAGATCATTGGATAATGCAATTCAAGACTTTTTATTGGCTTAGCCATTATGGTATATCAGCCAATATACCATAATCTACAAATATGGCAAGCGTATGTGTCAGATTAAAATTAAAAGGGAACTAAAAATTGAATAAAATTTCATTTAATTTAACGTTTTTAATAAAACAGTTATTCCACTCGCGCTTGTTGGATATGAGATGATTATAGCCAACTCGGCGCTACGCGCCTTGTTGGCTATCTATCATCTCATATCCAACGCACGCTCGTGGAATAATTGTTAATTATCTTTTTAAATAATGTGAAATTCTGTAAAGGGAACTCCTCTTCAATGATCCTAAACACAAGCTAAGAGAATATATTTTCTTAGGTGATTACACAATGTTGTGAAACTAAAAAGAAATTAATTACTTCTTCAAAGACTTGTCCTGTGGGGGTCCAGCACTTCCTTCCCCGTTGCTTTTTCTCTTGCTGGCTCAAGAATTCCAGCAGCCATTTCTTCTGTTGTAAAAAGCTGTGAAAACACCTTAAACTCATATTTCTTCAGGTCCCCACCAGAGGGAATGGCAAGAAGTTTAACCTCATTGTGCATCTAAAAGAAAAAAAAATGTGTCATTAGTGACTATCTCATTTCCAAGAAGTTTCAATAGGGACCTTAAGATCTACAATGGTGATGGTGAAGAAAATGCCTCCAAACAGTAGTATGATTGGTTAAAAGTTGAAAATAACCTTGCTGCATGTGCTGCTCATATATTTTTGGTACTGTGCATAAAAACGACATGAAATCACCAAATTTGAGGTTTTAAGGGCAACGCTCCCATAAAAATGCCTATCTTTTATTATCTATTCTTACTGTGAAACTGCTGGCACTAATTCATTTTTAAGATACTTCGTCCACATTAGACAACATGAATAAGATGGAATAACCACGAAAGACTTACAATAGTGCAAAGTTATATTTTGAGGTGATATTTTCGTTGATGTTGATCTTAAGGTCTCTAATTATTGTAGATGTAAAGCTGAACTCAGGTGACTGCCTCTCAGGCTATTGCTAAAATTGAGCCCTCATGCCATTATCAAAACAACCATTGCAGTGCATGACACCTACCAAGGATGCTGTGGGGGAGCTTCCAACTCCAGGTCTCACCAACATCACTCACACTACTAGCACCTTGAATTTCGTACTTGGGCTAAAAAAAAAATCAATAACAGAATTCTAGTTTGAATAAAAGAGAAAACAAATAAACAATAGAATGGAGACTTATGACGATTTCCTTGACTTGTCTGTTGGTACATTAAAAGATTATCTTGACGTCAGAGGTCTTCAAACTACTGGTAAAAAAGTGGAACTTGTGGCGAGGGCTCATTATGTACATCCGCTGGTTCAACAACCTCTAACTCAATCTCTTTATCTTCGGGAACCTCTGGCAGAGGCTCAATGCCAAAATCCATTTCAACATTGTCCCCTAAAGAGTCATTAGATGCGGATGTGCTTTCCTCTTTATCCAATAATCTTCTTTTTGAGGAGTCTTGTCGAACTTGTTTTTCAGTACAGACAAAAAAACTGTAGAGTTGGGATATTCTCTAGTAGGCTGTCCATCTACAAAGTGGTTCGCACAGACAGAAGTCTCATTTCCCGGTGAAAAATCATACTGCTTAATCCTGGGGCTATAGCATCTTTCCATTTCTGGTGTTTATTCTTGGCTGTGGTAGATTTAAAGAAACGCATTTCCTTAACGTTGGATCGAACAACATTTTGTGGGATATCTATCGTCGTTACAACCACCAACGCAACAGCGAGCTGTTTTTGGCTTGGCAGTCGACATAAACCCGCCTGAGATTAAAAAAGATATAAGTAACACTTACATAATCAAAAAATGGAATATGACGAGCAAAATAGTGGAAAACATGCTTGAATACTTTCTCTTTGATGTTTGACACTCTCTCACGTGGTTGATTTGCATATGTCACCTCCATAAAAAGTAAAAAAGTCGCAAGAAAGATCAATCTCAGGCGGCTGAAATTTCGTACATACTTCGGCTATATACTTACCTAAAATTTCTGAAAACTTGAGGACCAGAGATTCATCTGACAGGAAGAAAATTAAGGAAATGCAGCTTGCACCCGAGTCACGGGTCGACATTTTACAGTAAATGCATGGGGCTTGGCAGCCGCGCCTCCTAATGTCTGCCTGCCCAACAAAATGGCGGCGTATTCCGTGATTTGTTGAACTGTACGTTTTCAAGGGGATCGTTGTCGATTTGCGTTGGCGATTTTAAAATTGAAGTTCAAATGCACTAGATCTGTATGAAAAAGCTATTTTAATCAGGAGGTTTTATTTCTTCGCGTACTCCGGTTTTCCCCTCACATAAAAAAAACAATATTTGAGTTGATTTGTTCTGCTTTAAGTTGATTTGTAGTCTCCCTAATTAGTAGAGCACTCATGCTCCAAAAATAGCCTTAAGACTCAAATAAAGTGATTGTTGTTATTAGTATTACTATTTACCTACATGAAATATCATTAAAAGCTGACTTTTTCGACAAGATCTTGTAAGATTGTCTTAACATTGTTTTTAATAGATGTTAGAGTGTTGATACCTTAATTAATAATTTTCTGAGATCTTGTAATTTCTTTGTATCAATAGAATGCTGCAAACTGACTTTTGATGACAAGATCTTGTAAGATTTCTTTAAGATCTTACAAGATTTTATCAAGATCTTTTAAGATCTTAAAGGGCCTGTAAACCCTAGAATACATGTTTTTCTTATTTCATGTAAAAAGTGTCATAGAAAACGAATCTGCCATTGATTTTTCCCAATTCGACTTATTTAAGGAGAAAATCGGCATTTTATACTGAAATTCCACTTCCGGTGAAAACAATAGAGAGAGGTCGTGACGTAAGCGGTGGAACTAAAATATTGCGCAACACGGACTTCACAGTAGCATTGGTATGGCAGCTCGTTCAAGTAGCAGTAGTTCGGACGATGTTTTGTCAGAGGGAAGTGATTCGAATGCCTTAAACTTATATGACAACGATGGGGATAACTCAGAACCTTTAGGAGAGTCTGGGCCATGTTCTTATCAACATGAGCCGCGTAGAGTTCACCGAAACGATCCGCACGAAGACAGCACAGAACCGGTTGACAGCGATGCCGATCGTCTCGGAAACACAGACTGGTATTTAATTCATTGAGTAATTTATTTGTATTTGGCATGAAAACTTAATAAAGCAAGTTTCCAATCTTAAAGAAAGCAACAGAATTTTTTTAACTTTAGCATCCGTGGGTGTGTTATTTAAAATTGTCAAAGGTGCGAGTGTGGAACTTGTCAGCCAATGCCGACAACACATGAAAGTGTTTGTTGCGCGGAAATCGGACAAGTGTGGCAAAAGGTGGAGGAACAAAGGCCTGAAACCCAAATGACTTGTATTACTGAGTATTCAGGTTTTCAGTCAACTTGCCACGATGTCTGGATGCTGGAGACGGCCTATTACGCGTACAGGCAGCAATACGGTACAGATAATCACACCCAAAATGAGTAAGCGGAATGTTTTATTTTAATCTGTTTTTGATATCGATTTGCTGGAGTTTTTGTGCTATTGATTAAATAACACAGTGCTAGAGCTAGTTATTTTTCTCTCTCCTGGAAGGAAATTTCGCTATATCGCCTACAGACAGCTGGCTCGCTGGGGTTATCTCGGCAAGAAAGTCAGGGTCGCTCTGCCATCTAGTGCGGTAAATAAAATCAGAAGCACTTTTCCAGCTGATTTTGGAACCTCTTACACTGGATTAAAACCGCCAAACCTTTGACAGAAACAAAGGTACATGTAAATGCAGATCATAATTATTCATGTCCTACAACACTAGCGGCTGTGCCTGTTCGAAAGGAAATATTTATAAATATAATGCTTTCCTTCATCTCCGAAGTATTACTATTGATAAACAAGTTGTAACGTAAAGATTTGCGAGTGTGGCGTGTATATATATATATATATATATATATATATATATAATTATCGAACCTTTCTGTGTTTGCTTTGATTGGAAATATAGAGAGATAGTTTCGCAAGCTGAACTCTGGATCTTTTAATTTCTATTGAAAGTAAAAAAATGTTTTCTAATGACCTTTGATTACAACTTCACCGCTGTGTAAACCGTGACACAAATTCTCCAACTGCTACTTCTTTGCAGGTTTCTCAAAGAAAGCAGCAAGCGGGGCTGGCAAAGATTCTTTACGAAGATTTCTTTTGACAGATTTCTGTCTCACCCACACTCGCCGTAGATGTTCCTGAAATATTTAACCAACTAATTTCCAGATCGCATTGTATACCGAAATCAACGAATTCTTTCTTGATGCGTGTTTCGGTCTCCGGCAAAGGTTCAAACAGGTCAGTGTCGTTTTTGGGCTCATCACTGGCTCCCGATCAACTGGCTTCCCCATAATTTTTTAAAAGCTGACAAAGAAAGGTGTTTTAAGAGAACCTAAAATCTGGAGGTTTCCGCGTAAATCAGTTCGGTACTCATCCTGTTAACTTCCAACTTTTGAAGAGCTCTACTTCTCCTCGGTCGTTTCTCAGTACGGTCGGTCACCTCTGGATTTTCGCTGTCTCTGAATGCAAAGGTCGCTTTTTTACCTCGGAATAATTTTTTTCTGGTAGGGCCTGAATCATCGGCACAGCAACAGGAAGAAGTGGCTTTTGCCAGCTTTTTAAGACCCATTTCGACCATATCGCTTTTCTCATAGCAATCGGGAGACAAATGACTGCTACAGACGACAGAATGTTCGGACGGCTCGTCAAAATCGGCTCTTTTAACTTGAACAAATTTAACCCCAAGTCGCTTCAAATTTGCTTCTTTTGGAAATTTATGCATTGTATGCCCGGTTTTGTTTGAATTACTATAAAACTGGACGACACAATGCTTTACCATTACGAAAAATTTTAATATAATCAACCAAATTATAAGTAAACAAATCATGACTAGACCGGCAAACAGGGGCTGCCAAGGAGACTTGCACATATCTCACGCGATCGTAAAAGAAAGCTTTTGACTTCAGTACAGGAAGGTTCCACGCGTGACGTCACAGGAAAGATGGCGCAATTCAAGATGCCGAATAATTCGAATTTGGAAGACTTTTTTCAAGGTAAAAATGGACTTTTGAGAAAAAACCAATTGCACATTTGAAATACTTGATATATTTGCTAAACAGTTACGTGAAAAGAAAATGTACGATTTTTGGGTTTACAGGCCCTTTAAAATGCTACACATTGACTAAATTTGACAAGATCTTGTAAGATTTATTTTAAGATCTTACAAGATTTTTAGTAAGATCTTTTAAGACCTTAGCAAGTTGGATACTGACTTTTGTTCTGATAAGATCTTGTAAGATTCTCTTAGGATCTTACAAGATATTTTCTAAGATCTTAGAATGTTGAATATTGATTTCTTTGGATAAGATCTTGTAGGTTCCTCTTAAGATCTTAGAAGATTTTTACCAAGATCTTTTAAGATCTTAAGGGTTAAACAAGATCTTACTAAGATCTTAATCTTAATAAGGGTATTACAAGATTCTTGTAAGATCTTACAAGATCTTAATAAGATTTCCACATGGGAAAATAATCCCGAAACCTTTAGCTAACTGATAGATTTATTTCATTGTAAAGCGTAAGCTAAAGAAACTGTGGCATGCAAGTGACCGATTAGATTCTCAGGTTTAATCAGATACCAAATATCACAATTTGTACTCACCACAAACTTTCAGAATCCATAGCTTTATAAATGGCCGCTCGACCCTTGTAGCGGCCAGTTGATAATTGTACGTTCTCCCTTCTTTTAACTTCACGGCGCTAACGACTTGCTTTTCATAACAACACTCACACTATTCTTGTTTTCCCATTGAACAACAGTAAAACCCATCTTTAGAGATGTCATATTAAGCAAAACAGTCAAGAAAAGAAATAACTTAACGCACGAGCGATCAACGGATGAACAGTACATTCAAAGATGAACGCCAAATGGAATTTCCTTTGTTTCAAATCACGGGTAAGATCACGTGTATATTTTGGGAATTGTCATTGGCTTGTGAAGAGAATCCGCTGGCTTAAATGACTGCAGTCTTAAGAGAACGCGCAGGGTTTGACTTATAGACGATGTTGACGATGGTTTTTCCTTAGATCCATGTTCTGAAGATGCTCCAAATAATGATGTGAACTTTGATTCTACGTAGAAATAATCGAGATGAATCGAACGTACTGCAAATGCAAGATTTGTGGCCGAAAGCTGTCGAGGAAACAAAGACTCGAAACCCTGACTTGAGTCGTCTTTACGGCAAAGGTGAGAAACAACAGAAGGGCAATCACAATTTCGAGTGTGCATGTTTATAAACGTGTTACCCTCATTATTAGAACAGATGGATACCACCTTAGGAAGTACAAGAGCTACCCAGACGATCACAGTGTACCAGTGCCCAAATCGACGGAAATGGATCGTAACAAGCGTTCAGCGACACGTTCCAACACTGCCATCTCGATTCCTCAGTCTTTTTGCTTCCACTGAGCTAGCAGCGGTGCCAACAGAGTCAAGTGCGTCTCATAACGAAGAAACAGTTGTAGAAGAGAAGGAAGCGATTATAGTACGTTAGAATTCTTGCCTACAAATGAATGCATGTGCACATTCCGAAGCGTTGACCCATGCTTATGATTATGTTTGTTTTATGATTTTGGCACATCTCCGGACACGAGACATATTTTGTATCACAATAAAAACTTTTATTACTGTGGAATCCAAGGGGCCTTTGAGTTTAGAAAGCAAATCTGTGATATGAGTACATTGCATTTAAACTTAAAATTTGCACTTAATGTAACTGCTTTATGTAAAATGCATATTCATGTTAAGATTTACTACAACTTAATTCAAATAATAAATTTCATGATAAACATGTACAGGTATATACATCTCTTGGTACACTTTGTTTAGCATATCTTTTATTGAGCCAATATTAAAGTTTTAAGCATCTAAAATTACTCCTTGTCTTAAAACCTTCACATTCAAGGTATTGAGAGTTTCTTGGAATTATTTGGATTTGAGGGTTATTTAATTTGCTTCAAATTCAGGATTCCACCCCTCTTAACTTAAAGGTAGTTTGTACAGCTGAGAATTCCTAGAATTTCCTAAGAATTTCTGGTAATTTGTACAGCTGAGAGTTCCTAGAGTTTCCTAAGAAATCCAAGTCCTCACAAAACTGGAACCTTCCTTTCCCAGAAATTCCCAGTACTTCCAAGCTTTTCATATCAGAGCTTATTTACATAGTTGGGAATTTTTGAGAATTCCTAGGAATTCCCAGAAAACTGGGAGTTCAGTTCGCAAGGGTTGTACCCTACATCAACAACAAAGAAAAGGATTTTCACTTGAGCAGTATACTTAAAGTATGCTTCTACCCTACATCAACAACAAAGCAAGTGATTTTCACTTGAGCAGTATACTTAAAGTGTACTTCAGAAAGGGTACTGCAAATGTACTTAAGTAAGTGCAGTACTATTGAAGTATTATTGAAGTATGATTGCAGTATAACCACTATTGATGCAGTATACCTCTAGTATACTTAAAGCATACTTCAAGGCTATCTTTTTTGTAAGACTTTGAAATAGCTTTATTTTGAATGCTCGAACCACAACATTCTAGTGTTATTCACATTACCTAATAAATCCAGATCCAGGGAATAAAAGATGACATTTAACGACTTAAGAAGCTCTTTCACCTGTGAGAGAGATGTAATGGAAATAAATGAAAACAATATCAAACATTCTTAGTGTTATCAATATTGGTTGACTGTATGGGCAAAGCTAGGAATAATTTCTGGGTCTGGTGCCTGTCATAATGTTGTAGTGTCAAACGGCTGACTGTATTTTGCGAAACCAAACCAAACCAAACCAAACCAAACGAGTAAACCCGTACTGTATTTTGCGAAACCAGCTCTTCGAAGACTCAAGCGATCTATAAGTTATTTCTTCCGATTCTTAAACACTATTCCTAGATACAACTCGATGTAGTGATGATTTGTAAATAAAGAGTTTGAGCCAAAAGGTGAGAATTAAGTGCGCCGTTACGCAAGTTACCAAACGGCGCACTTCTGACCTTTTGGCTCAAACTCTATATTTACAAATCATCACTGTATCGAGTTGTCTCGACGAAAAGTGTTATAGAATCGGAAGAAATGTTACATATCATTAGAGTCTTCAAAGAGCTCGTTTCGCAAATTACAGATTTACATATCTGTAATTTGCGAAACGTTGCACTTCTGACCTTTTAGCTCAGACTCTATATTTACAAATCATCACTGCATCGAGTTGTATCTACGAAAAGTGTTGTAGAATCGGAAGAAATAAGCTACATATCATTAGAGTCTTCAAAGAGCTCGTTTCGCAAATTACAGATTTACATATCTGTAACTTGCGAAACGGCGCAGTTCTGACCTTTTGGCTCAAACTCTATATTTACAAATTATCACTGCATGATTTGTATCTACGAATATTGTTTAAGAATCGGAAGAAATAAGTTATATATCGCTAGAATCTTCAAAGAGCTGGGTTCGCAAAGTACAGAACGGGTTTACTCGTTTCGTTTTGTTTAGTTTCGTTTGGTTTGGTTTGGTTTCGCAAAATACAGTAAGCCGGTCAAACCTATTTTTGTTCAGAAACAACCTATTTAACCAAATGTTACATCATATCTTAATAAATCCTCTACCCCTTCTTATATAGACAAGGTTTGAGTTTGACCATGTTTTTAGTGTACATGCTGCCTCAAACTCAATGCATGAAACAGAAGACAACTGAAATTAGCTCTGAATTAACTTCTTTTTTACATACATAAATAACCAGACAAAACAGCTCCTTGGCTATCCAAGGAGTTGACATGATCTAACTGGACAAAACCTATATTTCAACAGACATTGTCTGTTGACAGGCCATTATTTCTAGCCCTGGGGAGAATAAACATCTCTAGAAAATATGCTTTTAATTATTGTTTGATCATACACGGCCAATAAATGGGCAGCACATTCAACGGCTGTTTTCAAAAGCACCCTCTTCTTAATCAAGAGACCAGAGATTCACTCTTTCTTTGCAACACGTAATTAATCTTTAATGACAATGCATAATTTTTTTTTACTTTGTTGTGGTGACTTATTCAATGATTCCAGCAGAAGAAAAGCCATTGTAATGAAGTCATTAAGAATATTGAATGGATGTTGAATCTCCATAAAAAAAAAAAGCACTTACTTTAAATGACTGCTCTAGCTCTGATGGACTAATTAATAGCATAAACTTAGTGTATTGTATTCCGAATGAAAGGCCAGGAACACATTAAACCCGATCAAGATGGCGGTAAGAACTGTTTTTAATCTGAAAGAAGACCTCGTGTACAATACCAAATATGGAAAACAGGTCTCGTGACACTAGCTTCTACGTAGAACAGGGAACCCAAAAAATAGGGAAAATCTAACAGTTTCCTCTCCTTTAAGACTTAAAAATGCACTAACAAAAAAGAAAGAATAAAACAAAATCCAAGAAACAAATTTCAAAGTATCTCAGATAACATGTTGGTACTGTGACCACAGACAAAGAAACAGTACAGTTCCCTCTAGCCGCAAACATAGTCCTTTAAGAGGTGGTTTGACCAAATGACCGGCACAGGTGGTAATCAATTCAGGTTTCGGATCTAGTTGATGACCTTGTTGTTCTGGAGAGGAAAACTCCCCAATGGGAGTCACAGCCAAAGGTGGTGCATCCTTCCGCTCGGTCTCCGTAACTCCAGGCGGCGTGACATTTTCGACCTCCTCCGGAACAGCACAATCATCAATCGTTTCCACGTCAGGTGGGCAAAGGTTGCTATCCCGTAGCTGCTCGACATGACGTTTCCAGGTTTGGTCATTTACCTTGACTTTGTACAGGACTGGACCCGTTTGTTCAACGACAGTCCCACGTACCCATTTAGGAACTATGCGGTAGTTGTGGACCCATACGTTCTGGTTTTGGTCAAAAGACTTCAAGGTGCAGTCATAGGACTGGAGCAACGTCTTGTTGATTTCCCTTGTAACATCCGGCTTAATCAGGTCCAACCTTGTCTCAACATTCCGACCCAAGAGAAGCTGTGCAGGGCTAAGCTCAGTAGTGGCATGTGGCGCTGATAAATAAGCTAACAGAAACCTATCAAGCTTGTGATGCAGGGTTCTACTGGACTTGTCAGCCTTTACTCCTTTCTTGAAACTCTGTACTAATCGTTCCGCCTGACCATTGGTTGATGGGTGGTAAGGTGCACCAGTGACATGCTTTATACCGTTCGCAGTTGCAAATCTCCTAAAGGTTTCAGACGTGAACTGTGGACCATTGTCTGACACAATCAGGTCAGGGAGTCCCATGCAGGCAGACAGAGAGCGCAGTGTGCTAACGGTTTCTCCAGCAGTAGTGATTTCCATCACAAAAATCTCCGGCCACTTGCTGCGGGCATCAATCACTACCATGAGCATCTTTCTCTGAACTGGTCCAGCAAAGTCAATGTCAAGTCTTTGCCAGGGAAGGGAAGGGTACTCTCATTGATGCACGGGTGTACGGGCTGGATTATTTGCCAACTCTTGACATCCCTTACAGCTTCGGATGGCCCCTTCTATGTCCTTGTCAATGTTTGCCCACCAAGCAAACCCCCAGGACAAACCCTTCATCTTGACCATACCAATGTGACCCTCGTGAAGCGTTTCCAAAACTCACTCTCTCAGTTTTGCTGGGACGACTACTCACTCTAGAATCCCACATTAGAACTCCATGATGAATCGTGATTTTTTTACCACGATGGGCAAAGGGAATGCGCTCTGGGTGAAGCTCGGTTCCTTGCCATCCTGACTGCACAAGCTCCAAAACACGGGAAAGTACTGGATCCGTACGGGTCTGCATTCTCAAGTCGTGCTCTGTAACGGGGAGGGCCTCAACGACGGTGGTATGGAATATTTCCACTTCATCGGGCTTGTCAGCGGGTGCTAATGGTTGGGGTAGGCGAGATAAACCATCACAATTGGCATGTTGCTTGGTACCTCGGAACTCGATGTTGTATGAAAAAGCTCCTAGGAAGAGGCACCAACGTTGAATCCTTGCTGCTACTGTGACTGGCACAGCCTTCCCAGGGTCCATTATGTACTTCAAAGGCTGATGGTCGGTGACGAAAGTGAAATGGCGACCCTTCATCCTGATTACTAGGCAGCGAGCGCGAGCCCTGGCTGAAGAAGCCGTTCGCCAGGAAAATTTAGCTGTGAGTTCGGGTTCGAATGAGTGGTCAGCCCCTCCTCCACCCGTTCAGCAATCTAGAGTACCATTCTTTCGTTCACTTTTTAAATCAGCTAATAGATCGCCGAGGGCTGACGCACAATCAATGGCTTTGAGTTGAATTCCTCCACCTATTGAATGTTCTCTAGTCTCTTCTTGTACCGGTAGCCAAGGTTCTGACTCCAAAGAAGATCTTATTTATGAGAGCGGCAAGACCAGAGAAAATCTCTCCGATCGTGAAAACTTAAGCGAAAATTCTCTCGCAGCTCGTAATGACTCAGTTGTTAATAATCGACATAATTCTTTAGACTCAAATCAGTTGTCTTGCACCAGCCTTTGTAGAAATGGAACACCAAGTTAGCCAGTTATGCCAAGCAGTCGAAAGAATGCAAGCCTCAGTTAATTCACAAAATAGAAGCGACGGTGTGAAATCATCAGTTACGTTTCCAATTTTCAGAGGTGACGAATCTGAAGACGCTCATGAATTTCTTAGGAATTATAAGAGGGCCGTTAGACTAAATCGTTGGGACAATGAAAGTTTAGCATTTGGGCTTCCTCTTTATTTAAAGGGCTACGCTAGCGCTTGGTTTAAAACTTTACCGATGGCCGATGAGGTGTCTTTCGAAGAATTGTCTGCTAAATTAGTCACGCATTTTGCCCCCGGTGCTAGGGAGTGGTGCGTAAGACAGGTGCTAGGGCAGGGACGACAACTAGAGAAAGAATCGGTTGGGGACTATGCCTATAGCCTTCCAACACATTGTGCGAGGATTCATTTGCCTAATTCTGAGTGGACACACCATTTCGTCCAGGGTCTCATTCCCGAGATTCGCGTGTACGTTGTTTTCCAACAACCTGAAAATTTGAAATCGGCAGAAAACTTTGCCAAGCTAAAAGAGTCAGTATTACAAGGGTCTAGGCGCAGAATTTAACCCTAAGGAAGTATCAGCGCAAATTTTGGAAGAACTCTCAAAAGCGATTAACCCTAAGGATAAGTCAATTGGTGTTGTAGGTCCAGCTTCAGATCAAAATCCTCGCATGAACAAGTCTGAGATGAAACAAACTATTAAAGACGAGTTTCGGGAATTAATGGGAAGCAATATCAATAGACCCAGTGGCTATATTCAGCGCTCAAACCAGAATTTTCAGCCAAGGAGTTCCTGGTCTCGCTGTGGCGATGCCGTTTGCTATGATTGTGGTCAAAAAGGATATACTCATTTTTGTCGCTCAAAACCTGATCCTAGGAATTTACGTCGTGGAGGTGGTAGACAAAATTGTTCTCAAAATAAGGGTCAAAACACTTCTGACTGGCAGTCTAAGCAGCAGGAAAACTGAGAATTGCCCCTGTTTCGTTAGAAAATGAACCCGTGATGGGGGCGTCAAATACTGTACAAAAACCTTTAATGAAACTTGTAGACCGAAATTTATCGAGAGGAGCGCGCAATGCTGATAAACTTGCTTTCAGTTTTGTCCATTATTTTAGCTATCGTTATTAAGGTACTTGAATTGTTTGAAGTAGTCATAAAAACTACTGTGGAAGTACTTAAACGACCTCCGGTGCATAGCAAAGGACACGCGACTTTAGTTTCAGGCGCCAGTACGCCGAGTTTCTCTGCTTTGTCTGTTCAGGATAAAACTCCTGAGTGTTTATGTGAGTTCTCAAAGGAAGAACCTCCAAGTTTTAAAAGTGCTGTTGTTGAAGAAAACAGCCTAGTTTTTGAGCAAGCAGATGTTTTTGTTCATGTTATGTTGAGTAGTGACGATATTGTTATTTCGGAGGTCATGTCACGCCACAACGCTAAGCAAAATAAGGTACCTGATAACAACGAAACTCTAGGTAGTGACTACTCGCCTTTGACTGATAGTAATTTAGAGAATAGTGAACAGGGGTCAAGAGAATTATCCGTCTCGAGGACTTTAAATAACTTTTGCAGCAGAGCTGAAGCGGGTTCTTTTGTACAGCCGATATCAAATCCCGTTAGTAATTATGTAAAGGACAAAGTTAATAACATTTCTATTTCTTTTGCGCTTGGAAGCTCTCTTCTACCTGTTAGCGTAAAGGGTTATGATTTTCAATGTTTAATACTTTCAGGAGCTGCTGTCACAGCAGTAAGTGCTAAAGTGTGGCGCCAGTATTTATGTCACGCTGACCCAGAACTTGGTGTGCCCGATTCAGAAAAAGTGACTACAGTCAATAGTTCTCGTTTGACTGCTGTAAGAAAGACTTCGATGGAATTTGTTATTGATTCTCGTATATTTACTTTCGAAGTATGTGTGATAAAGGACCTGTCTTTTGATGTTATACTGGGTAGAGATTTTCTTCGACGATTTTGTTTCAAAGTTGATTTCCAGAATGGATTAGTTAGTTTGCCCGCTGAGCCCAGTCCTTTTCCTTTTGAGGGTCTATGCGTAGACGACGACAGTGATTTAATTGATAAAGCCTTCATTTCTTCGGTCAATGCCTCTCATACCTTTGTGATTCCACCTCAGTCAGAAATTTTGATCTCCGGACAACTTGAAGACCCGTCAGATAAGTATGGTATCGATGGCATGATTGTTCCAAATCCTGACTTATGTCACCGTACGTTATTCGATTTTTGGAGCATCGGAGCCTGTTAGTGTTGCAGAGGATGGTGCAATCCCTATTAGGTTGGTTAGTCCTTCTAATGAACTAATAAAAGTTTACCGTAAAACTCGTCTAGCAAAATTTGAGAAGGTAGATCGCAACATAGTTACTTTCGAGTTGAATGCGAACAAAAAGCTACGCGAAAGTCATTGTTCTCTTAATAGTGACGACGAACCAAAAGAATGGGATTATTCTCAATTGCCTGACTTGTCTGATAGTATTCTGTCAGCTGATGACAAAATTAAATTTCGTGATTTGTTTAGTAAATACCTTGCTGTGTTAGCTTTTTCTGATGCCGAGTTAGCTAAAACATCGCTTGTACAGCACGTGATCGATACGAGTGACGCTACCCCAGTTAAACAAATACCATATCGCACTTCGCCTGAAGGTAGAAAAGAGGTCGATAGACAAGTGAATGATATGCTAGAGCGTGGAATTGTTCAAGAGTCAGTTAGTGCTTGGACTTCATCCGTTGTTCTAGTTAAAAAAAAATGGTTCTATGAGATTTTGCGTTGACTATCGTTAATTGAACAAAGTTACAAAAAAAGATAGTTTTTCTTTGCCTTTCATTGCCAATACTTTAGATTCTTTAAGTGGAACAAACATTTTCAGCACAACTGACACGAAATCGAGTTATTGGCAAATAGAGCTTCACCCTTCTGCCAGAGAAAAGACTGCTTTTGCTACGCACAACGGCCTGTATGAGTTCTTGGTAATGTCTTTTGGTCTTGCAAATTCTGGGCAGAGTTTCCAGAGACTTATGGGCCATATCTTGAGAGGACTGGAATATCGGTTTGCAC